TACACTTATCTTGATGAGCACTGAGTAATACATGGAACTGCTGAATCACTATATTGTATACCTGACACTAACATAACACTGTTAACAACACAGATAAAATAAAATATAAAATAAAAAGAGAGAACAAGATAATAGGCCAACTTATAGAAAATAAAGATAGGATAAGTAATTTTTGATGTAGCTAAAAAAAGCTTGGAACGGGAAATAGATAATTCAGATATGAAACCCACATCCACTGCTTACTAACTGTATGAATTTGAACACTTCAATAAATTTCAATTTCCTCACTCCCTAAATGTCAATAAGCTTTATCTTACTAGGGTTGTTTCAAGATTAAATGAGATAATCTCCAATAAATAGATTTCCTTCCTTTCATTTCCTCCTCTGACTCCACACCTCTATTTGCTCTTGAAGGAACTGGTTATAAACCAACTTAGAATCAGCCATTGGAAGCTCTATGATTCTAAAGTTTTGTAATGAGAAGTGGAATACCTGGTTTTGAGGATTATCCATGGCCTTTCCTCTTCCTCTTCCTTTCTGCTCCTCGGTCATTTACTATACACTAGCACACCAGAGGGCAGGCAGAAAAACAGAGAGGACACAGTAGATGGCTTATGAAATTATGCTAAATTGATAAATTAAGGTATAAATGATGTAAAATCAAGTAGTTGAGTTCTACTTTAGGAGGAAAATCAATATGCCAGACTATAGGACACTCTTAATAATACCTTCAAGTAGAAAAGTTGCAACTGAAACTTCATGTAGTCACTTTATGAAAAAGTATTCCAAATTTTATATTTAAAGTAACAAACCAGAAAAGAATCCTGGGGGTCACTGCCAATCGTTTTCCAAAGACATCCCAGGTTTTCTATTTTTGTTTTTGTTTTGTTTTGTTTGTTTTTCTACAGGAAAAGGCCTACATGGTTTTGATTATCTCAGGAATAAAGGAAATAGAAGTTATTATCCCCTTCATGAAGAAGGTTGTGGAACCGTTGCCTCTAAAATATTTAGTCTAGTTCTGTTTGCTATAACAGCAGGAGGACATAATCAAACTGGAGGAGAGCCAGAAAAAAAGAAGCCAAATTGGCAGGTGAGAGGAAGACTAAAAACATTTAAATTCTTAGAAAAGCTTCCTAGATTCTTAGAATTGGAATTATCCTTAGACATCATATATACTAATTCCTTATGCTTCCCGAATATGCCTCATCAATCATAAATAGTTAATCAAAGGCCTACTATATGCTAGGGACTGATGAGGATCCTTCCCTTTTTTTTGCAGCCTGTGTGCAAATTATCTCCTCAAATATATCTCATATGCATCCACTTCTCATATCCACTGCCATCGCCCTGGCCCAAGTCAACTTTCTTTCTCATTTAGGCTACCACAATAGCATTCTAACTGGTTACCCTCTTCTACTCTGCTCCTCTTAACCATGTTCCAACTTACCAATTCATTGCCACCAGCATGACTGTGAAACACAAATTAAATCCTGCCATTGGCTTACATAGAATACTTCAGTGATTTTCCATCTAATTCAAAATCAAGTCCAAAGCAATAAACATGGCCCCAAAAGAATTGGCTCCTGCCTCCTTTACTAATAGCCCCTCATTTTGCTTTTCCCTTGGCTCACCAAGGTCTATCCACACTGGCTTTCTTTCAGTTCCTAAGACAGCCAAATGCTTTTCCATATAACAATAACCACCACTACCACCATTATAGCTAACATTTCTCAAGTTTTTAACTACATGATTGGCTCTGTGATAAGTGCTTTAAGGACATTACCATGTCTAATCCTCACAAGAAACTCCATGAAATAGTTATTATTTTTATCCTTTTACTATTGAGAAATACTTATTTAGAGGATATTTAGAGAAATATTCAGAGAAATTAAGTGATTTCTCTGAAGCAAGATAAGTCCAAAGGTATTAAGTCTGCTATACTGCATATTCTAGGAATGCTCTTTCTCCCTACTCTTCCCTAGGCAGATCATACCATGCCTTATGGTTATAACTCGTACGTCATTTCCTCAAAACAGACCTCTCATTTTCTGATCTAAATTTGGAAACTTTGTCACAGTCCTTTAAACTTTTCCTTTATAGAATATATCACAGCTTATAACTATGTATTTCTTTATGCAGTGATTTATTTAAAATTTGTCAAACCTCCAACAAACTATACATTTTATGAAGGATCATATGAATATAATATAATTTCTGCTGAATAAATGATTGAAGAAAATCATCCAAACCTTCTAAGAATGAGGTGTTGAATCACTCCATGGGAGAGTCTGAGTGTTAGAAATTCTACTAAAATATTTTTGCCTGCAAAGAAAGCTATTCCCTTACAATGTCTATCCACGATCCTAGTTCTGATCTCTTGATCTATACTAAAAAATTAAATTCTTTTCTCTTGTATATCTCTTCAAATATTTCAGCCTAGAGAGTTAAAGACAAAGAGGACTGGCTATTAAGGTGAGATAATTCCAGATTTGTTCATAAAAAAATAGTATGCTAGAGTGCAGAAGATGAGGGGCATCATTTGGAATTACAGACTTCTTAGGGCACATTTACAGAAATTATTTACTTGCTGCAGAAAATGAATGTAAAAAGTATATAGACATGAAATATAGATTGGGCCACTGTGCTTGGCATGCTGTATCACAAACTGGGTTCTAATTTGTATAGATCTAGAAAGACACAAAACTGGAGGAGGTCCGGTAAAGGCAATTAAAAGATGTACAAAAAGATTGGGAAAAGTAAAAACTAGCTATGCAAATACAACTAATCTTAAATATTCTCAAATTATAAGGCTGATGTCAGGAAGTGTGATCATACCTTCCTATATCTCTTATGAGTTTTGTTTTAAGAGAACTCTAGATTAGATGAACTAAATATCTAAGATTTTGAAATTAATAACATGAAATAAAAATATAATAATAAAATAATAGTAAATAAAATATTCTTTAGGCATTTTTTATATTTTAAATTAACTCAATATAGTCACTGAAGTTTCTTTAAGTCTCCCATCCTGAATGAGAAAGATGGAACCTCAAAGATGAAAAGGCCCTCTTGTTTGATAATATATTTGATGCCTGAAATCTCTCTACAACTTGTAGTCCAAGTGGCTGCTAGTTAACAGTAAACATCCTCAGCTATATTAAATGACTTGATGGTGGGGGATCCTTAAATCATCACATACACTTTAAACATCTTATAACTTTGTCAGTTATACCTCAATAAAGGTGGGGTATGATGCTTTGGATTTTGAGATTTAGATTTTGAGTTTAGATCTTAGGTTTAAAATCTCAATTCCAGAATTTATTAGCTGTGTAACTTTGAACAGGTTACTTACTGTGTTTCAATTTCCTCATTTCAAAAACTGGAATAACAAAATGTGTCTTTGAAAATTGTTTGAGAATTAAATGCAATGCCACAGTATTAAACATCACTTTGTATTATACCTGGCACATAACAAATAAATGCTCAATAAATGTTCATTTCCCTCTAATAACAGAAATCCACTATCTGCCAACACAGTCCATTTCCACCTTAGACACTGGGCTCTTATACTGTGTGGAACCAGTCCAATATTGCTAAGTAAATAACACTTAGAAGTTTAACATATGAGGTTATGTTAAGAAAAAATGCTCTTGGGGTGCCTGGGAGGCACAGTCAGTTAAGTGTCCGACTCTTGGTTTCAGCTCAGGTTCTGATCTCAGAATTGTGAGATCAAGCCTCACACCAGGCTCTGGGTTCAGCACTAAATCGGCTTCAGATTCTCTTTCCCATTCTCTCTGTCCCTCCCACTCACGTCTTCCTCATTCTCATTCAAATAAATAAATAAATAAATAAATAAATCTTTAAAAAAAAAAAAAAGAGAAAAGAAAAGAAGACTGATATTTTAACTCTGGCTATTAATTCTAGTTTGTATATATTTCTCAGCAGTTTGTCACTCAGAAATGGCAGAATTTAATCTCTTTGAATGATCTCAGAAAAATATGAGTTACAATTATATTTGAGAAGAATTCTTAAATAATCTAATTGATGTAAATGTTCCACTGGAATTACCCTTCTCGGTAAAAACAACAAAAAATTCTCCTTCTAGTTATTAAGGATTAATTGATATGACAATGGACTTTTAAGGCTAAGTGGATTCTCTCCTTACTTTTATTAAGAATTAATGACAAAAAATAAGAATATCAGAAATGTATTGCTGTTTTATCACAAGACCAGGAAAAACAATTCTTTGATTACTTAATTTTGCAAACAATTTTTAAGAAAAGTTTATTTTTATTTAAGTTATAAGATAGGTTAGAAGGAATAGAATTTGTAGATTTAACCTATTAAAGGGTACCACTTGCTTTGTGATAACCCAGCGCACTTTATAAATAAATTCACTTGCCTTTATCAATGGAATTCACCACTTTATATATGCTATGTGGGTTCATTTGTTAGAAAATATTTTAGGTGGTTTTCCCCAGCACAGAAAATAAAATTACTTCTAACATGTCTGACTCAACTACAACACAAAGCCTCCTACTTGCACAGAAATATAAACTTAAACAAGTCAAACTTTTTTTGAGGAAAGAAATTATGTTTTCTAATACTTCACCTCTTAGCTTGATCTTTCAAATCTAAAGAAAAATATTTTCAAGCTCACTAACTATTTTATGGCTTGGTAAGTTATAGCTTTTTAACAATGAAAAATCTCAAGATCAAATTTAGAATGAAATTGTCAGAACTAAAATTAAAGACCAAATATTAGAAACAAGAATGCTCCTGGTATTACAAATATAATTTATATTAGACAAAAATATCAATAACTCTATTTCCCTTCATTTCTCCCATACAGTAGATTTGTCACATCACAAGTAACTTTAAATTTGTAGGAGCTAAGAATTTTTTATTGTGAATTTTATTAAGCACAGATGATGGTTAACATGACTCCTAAAGAGGCTTACAGATGATGATAAAAATAAAAGAGCATAAAATAAGCTTACTGTTTCACCAATCTTTCCAATGTTTCCTTGATCTCCTACTTCTCCCTGTTAATAAATAATATAAAGCTGTAAAAATGATTATTTTCAAACAAGATCACTCACGACATTGTTTCCATTTTCATTTACTGTAATTAGTCAAATTAAAAAAAAAAAAAAAAAGGGCAAAGAAAACCTCAGTTATCCAAAACTCTGTTACAGCATTTCTGTGGAACATAGTCTTTCTGCTATATTCTTAAGTGACACTCTTCTATTTATGACTTTTAATCACTTTTAAAACACTTTTGCAAGTGAAATTTTTTAAAACGAAATATTTATTGAGGTGCACTCTGTAAAAAGCAGAGTGGTAGGTGTTGTGGAATGTATTAAGAAGAATAAAAATAAAGCCTTCATCCACAGAATGCTCTGTTTCAGGAGAAAAGATCTCATAACACTGAACAGAGCAGAATACCCACCACAATTAAGAGGCGAGGGAGTTCAGAGGAGCACGTGTGCTGTGGGCTGGTACAGCTAGAGATGGCTTCACTGGGGAGGTAATGTATGTGCATAACCTTGACCACCCTCACTAGTCCAGAACATTCTGAAAACTCAAAGTTTTTCAAAACTTGTTTGGTAGCAAACTTGGCCTAACCTGATTTTATTTGACAGCAATGCTTTATCTGACCTGAGTGAGGCTATTTATAGTCTTGTTTATTTTAATTAACCTGAACACCCTTATACTTTACCACAGAAATATTAATATTTCTAATTATGGTGGGCTGTCCCATAGCCTGCTGGCAGTGTTAAGTAAAATATAATATATTCACCATATTATCTTTTGAAAATCCAAACATCAATGATTTCAAGTAATGGATTATGAAACTATATTTGAGTTGGGCTCTGAAGAATAGGTGATATTTCACTGGTGATGAGAAAGGTCCATTTTTGGTGTTGAGGGACGGCATGAGGGAAGGCCGAACAAAGGCGTAGATTAATGAAAGGTAGAAGATTAAGTTCAGGGTACCACGCATAGTTAATCTGACAAGAATATATGTTTTATTTATAGAAATAGGAAATTAAACCATCAATTGCCATTTAAAAATTAGTAATTATATCGCGGAATAGAGTAGTAAAATGTTAAGCTGAACAATATTAGAGTCACTAAAAATATAGAGATAGCTACTGAGCATTTGAAATTGGCTAGTGTGAACTGAAATGTGATGTAAGTATAAAATCCCCACTAGATTTCCAAGACTTTGTAGCAAAAAGAATATAAAATATCTCATTAATAATTTTAATATTGATCACACGTTGAAATGATAATATTTTCTTATTTGGAGTTAAATAAAATAAATTACTAAAATTGATCTTTGTCTTTTTTCACTTCTTTATTGTGGCTCAAATCTGTGATTCATATTATATACTCTATTGGCTAGAGCTGATTTTAAGTACTGAAACCTAATACTCATATGACTAATCAATTTGAAATGAACTTTCAAAGACTACACTAATTTTCATTTCAATTTCTGTAGGCACTTAGATATACAGTAAAGAATGAAGCATTGTAGTAGTTTATAAATCCTAGTTTTTGACAATTCACTAGATAGTTTTTTTTTTTTAGAAAATCTGGGGTCAGAATGATATATAGATTATTAATTTTCTTGCATTTCCCCCTCCTTTCCCAACACTCCTTTCAAATTCCAAGGGAGATGGACTGTTTTGAAGTTTATAGTCTTAGGGGAGGTTTGGGTTAACAGGCAGAAAGCAAGAGTTTGCTTGCAGATTACCTGCATTCCTGCTTTAGTTTTCAGAGAGCTGAAGGTAGGAGGTGAGTTGGTCTTTGAGGGCAACAAGAGAGAGAGGAATATTTCCCCAGGCCTAGGAAGAGAAGAGAGATCCTAGGGTTCTGTAAAAGGTGTAACCAACTCCCAAGTGCTCCCCCCAGGAATGCCAGGTTCCCCCAAGGGAACACCAGTTCTAGTGAACAGCTATGTGATACACCAAGACTAAAATTTCAGGGACAAATATGAGGAGCTGAACAGTAAAGAACTTTTCATCTTCTGGGGAACAAATCTAAAAGCTTGGGTGATTCTAGAAAGGAGGCAGGATGTTACTATGACTGAGATTCAGTTTCTGGCAAGTTTGACTGGATGGTAGCTCACAGGTGGGTTTGTTTAGAGCTATCTGGCAATATAGTGATTAATCTCAGTAAAGCAGAATTAAGCTTTCTGTTTATAAATACTGTGTTTCCATTTTTGTGTATAACTTGAGAGTCAGCTACACATATTCCCCCGGGATAACTGCAGCCACAGAGAGATAGGCTGACACATCAGAAAATAGTTTAGTTCATCTTCCTTTGTTAATTGACCTCAAAAAATATTGCTCATCTGTTTCTTAGATTCTAGGATCACAGAAATAGTTTACTATAAATGATGACTTCTAACTTTAAGAAATTGAGCTATAATGCTATAAAATTTTTCAATTTTTCCTAAAGTTTTAAATTTGTATAAATCACCAATTCTTATAAGCTAGTTTCCTTTAGACCTTAGTGTTGCCCCTATAAAACCAGTACATTACCTTATATTTGTTGGTGTTTAAAAGTCACACAAAACTTGGAAACAAGGCAAAAAAGTACATGCTGCATTCTTTCAATGACATAAAGTGGTGAAGGTCACCTAGTGATTTTCTAGGGAATGTACTTAGAATCACTATATAATTGCTTAAAAGACCCAGACTTGGTAGGGAAAAGAAAAATATATATCTCTCTCTATAGAGATATAGAGAGAGATATAGATAGATGGTGAACTTACAATATTAACTTGTAGAATTCTGTCCAGTGAAATGGACAGCACCCAGAATTGTGGTTTATTTTATATCTCACCACAAATTTAGCAATTCTTTATTAAACTGCATATCTATCCAAATAAAGATATAGATATAAACACAGTCACATTATAGATATTTATAAACACACATATATAGATGTAGATATAGATATAAAGATATATATGTAGATGTAGATATAAAGATTTATAACTTTTCAAATGTTATTTGAGTCAGTTTTAACATATCACTGGTTCCCTATTAATAAGTTGACAAAATCTTAGATGTTCATTTTATATTTTTATGAAAGCCATAATTTTATCTTTTTGAAAACTATACTTTATGACTCCTAATAAGTCAGCTACTTTACCTTTAAGCCTTCTGGTCCTGGTTCACCTGCAAAACCCTTTTGACCTGGTTTTCCCTAGAAGAGAACAGGAAAAAAAAAGAGGTATGTTTAATGATTTTCATTTTTGGAAATTTCCAAACATTTACGAAATTCAGACTATTCTATGAGATAAAACACTTGATAAATGTATTTCAGCATACCCATTAGTATTCATTCTACAGTCTTTAACTGTCTACTATGTGCCCTACACAGTTCTAGGGATTGGGGATTGAGGAATACACTAATCATGCCTGCCTTCATAGAGCTTACATTCTAATGAGGATACCATTTAATAAAATAAGTAAAATATGTAGCATGTTAGTTAGTGGTAAATGTGAAGGACATAGAATTAAGCAAGGAAGGGAGATATAAACTGTTTCAGGAGTTTTGTTCAAATTTTTTATAAAATTGCCAAGGAAGACCTCACTGAAAATAACAGCATCTTTCTTTGCTGATAGGATTGATCCATTACAAAGACTGAAATTAAGATGCAGATGAAAGTGGGAAATAGCTGAGTCAATGTTTTTCAGTAGACAAAAGGATAAGATACACAGTAAACAAGTGGAAGTTTGACTTAGCTAGAAAAATGGCCCATTTATTCACAATAACAGGAGGGAAGGCCAAGTAAATGGTATAGATAGGTAGATAGAAGCAATAGTAGAAACTTGCAGAAGTTCTCTGAAAACTTTAAATTTCTCAGGGAACTGGGATGCAAAGTAATGGGCTAAGAATGAAAATCAGAGAGAAATGAGTGGAGTTAAGAAGAGAGAAAGTATAAAATAATAATTAGGAAATTAAAAGTAAAGGAGTATGGAGGGGCGCCTGGGGAGTTAAGCGTCTGCCTTCAGTTCAGGTCATGATCTCAGGGTTCTAGGATGGAGCCTCGGATCAGGCTCCCTGCTCAGCAAGGAGTCTGCTTCTCCCTCTGTCCCTCCCAAACTTATGCACATGCTCTCTCAAATAAATAAAATCTTTTTTAAAAAGTGAATGAGTATGGGACTAGAATCAGAATGCAATCAAAGGGATAATTTAGTGTTTTAAGCATGATGCAGAGAGATGTGAGGTCTCTGAGGAAAATAGGAATAATGGAAGGGCAATCGGATCAATGGATTAAAATTCCTACTGGGACTATTGGATTGGTTACAAGATAGAATGCACTAGAAAGAAAGAAGATTATGTTTGGGGGTAAGAAGTCTGAAACTGAAAATAAGGAGAAGCTACTATTATTGGCAATGACAAGGTAAAGGTTATGACTCCAGCAGTGCTAAAGAGTAGAGAATACGATCACTGAAGGAGAGGAAATCAAAATCCCAGACACTTGGTAGATCAATCCATAGTATGTGATTCCTATTATCAAACAACTGATACCTAATATACAAAATTATATTAAGAAGATCACTATGCCTCAATCAATGTATGTGACAAATTCAACCTGAGGAAAAAAAAAGTGTGGGGGGGGCAATTGCTAAATAGAATACTAATTTATAATACCTATCACGTATTATAGATTTGGATTTTATTATTTCTATCCATTAACAAATACTCCTATTTTTCTTTCTAAAACAAAACAATCCTCCAACTTTTATTGTATTTTGACTACATATAAAAACTTTGGGAACTTAAAAATTATATTTAGTACTTCTATCAAAAAAATTGTTCTAATTTTTACCTCTGCCTTGCTTGGAATTGTCTAGTGGTTTTCTACCAAGCACAAAGTAAAACAAGGACCAAAAATCATCCTATTATTGCTGAATATCAATTGCTCTCTAATCAGAGATAGGTGAAGAAATGTAATGAAGAGTCTAAATTATTAGATTTGTCTATGATATTTACAGAATTTTAAAATAATACACTTAATTCACATTGTTTTATAAAAAGCCTTAGTGTGAATATTTCTTTTATCTCAAATAATGTAATACTCAAGCATTACAGTATATTAATAAATAGTTATACATTATATCACATTATGAAAGGAATCTCACTGGAATCTGTATCAGCACATTTAAACTCTATTTGAAATCAAGGAGTTCAGGGCATCAGTGCTGAAGTCATCACTTTCAATCCTGTTTAAGTTCTGCCATATTGGGTTTATCCTGAGAAGGTTATGTTTGAGCATGTAATAGTGAGGCCTTATTTTAATATTTTAAAAATGTGGACAATATCCTGTAGGGTTGTTTTCAGGATTAGAAATGATTCATGCGACATACTTCGAGGAATACTAGGTTTAAATTTATCTTCAAACAACAGTAGAACAATAGTAATACCTATTAAGACTGAGTTGATAAGAGGCAACTGTGGTTTTCCTGTTTTCTAGAGAACTAAGTTTTAAATGAGGTCAATTATCCTGGGCTCAAATTAATAATAATCATTCTGTTATATAACTCACTTCACATAAAAATGAAATAAAAATTCTCCTTTTTCTTTCAGTGAGATAGTGTAGTATATGTACTAGTGAGGTAAAGGTGCAAAGGAAAGATTTATTGTCTCCTTAAATGTAAAAATGTTTGAAGAATCTGCATGTTATGATATTCTCTAGAAAAAAGAATGAGATGTATTTCATGTGAGTCTAATGATCCCTCTTAAAATAAATGTGATACACACACCTTAATTATTTCATAATAATGTATTCTTTGGTCATGCATGCCCAAATTCTTAAAGAGCTAATTTTCAGAACTTGGAAATAGGTAATTCATGTATTACCACACAATATTATCTGAAGAGAAAGTTGACAGAAAATACATCTTCTTTAGGTTCCATAATTTTACTGGCATGCTTAGAAAACAGAAGTTCCCAGAATATCACTAGAATGGCTACAGTATTTCACTTTCTATTACTTTTTGAGAAACTTTATAATTAGCACAAATTACTAAGACCATAAAACTACTGAAGGAACAAGCAGATATACTGTAGGCATATCATTTAAAATATTGCTGGGAAATTCCAGTTATAGGCTTATATTATTTAGAGGGATTGTATGGTTATAGTGTTTTTTGTCCTTTATTACAACTTAAAATTTGGTGCTATTAAAAGACATTCACATAACAGTTATTTTAAGAGAAGCACTTTTTCAAAAGTATTTGTATGATACCTACTCTTGGCCCCAGTTCTCCAAAGGGTCCAATTGGTCCTTCTTCTCCCTTAAAAAAAAAAAAAATCAGAACATATCATGGCCTGAAATAAGTATTTAAAAAGGTAAACCCTTATTCTATTTATTCTGAAATCTGAAACTGAGATGTGATGAAAATAATGCTGTGACTTTCTTGTATTTCATTTTCTTAAAGATTTTATTTATTTGAGAGAGAGAAAAAAAGAGAGAGACCAAGCAAGAGTGGGGATATGGGGGGTAGGGGCAGAGGGAGAAACAGACTCCCCACTGAGTGGGGAGTTGGAAGTGGGGCTGGATCCCAGGACCCTGATATCATAAGTTGAGCCCAAGTCAGATGTTTAACCCACCAACCCACCCAGGCACCCCAACTTTCTTGTATTTTACTCTGTCATCCCATAACGTTTTAATATTTGGAGTAACAACTCCACATCTACTCTAAAGGGCACTATTTGTTTTTAAATTGGTAGATCATAAAAGTTATACATAGAAAGTTGAGAATTAATAAGAGTGAAAGTAATTAGGATATCTATCACAAAATCAGGATATTTGTAACGGGCTTAGTATCTAAAATATATGAAGAACTTAAACAACTCAACACCAAAAGCCCAAATAATCCAATTAAAAATGAGGACCTGAATAGATATTTTTCCAAAAATGACATACAGATGGCCAAGAGACATATGAAAATATGCTCAGTATCCCTAGTCACCAGGAAAATGCGCATCGAAAACCTAACAAAAATTAGGAATCATAAATTAAGGATTACCTTTACTTTCTTGGGCTCAATATCTCTCCCATACAGAGAGAAAATCAATTAAGTTCTTAATAGATGGAAATCAATATACATTGGTATATTAAAAAGCTATTGGTACAGGACATGTTTGCTCTTGGCATATTTTAATACTTCATTCATTCAATACATATGGTTTTGAGTCTTAGTTCTGTTTTCAACAATATACAACAGTATATTGGATCCTACTCAATGGAGTTAGTATCTAGAGCTACTTCTTGACTAACTTACAGGTCCAGTATTCTTGGGGTGAAGCCAGTTATAATGTCGTAAAAATGTAAAAATCTTGTTCATTCTTCTAAGCATCAAAAAAATGTATGAGTGGATAGAGAATAGAGAAACATAAAAAAAGAACTTTTATATATTATTCTCTAAGAAAATTAAAAAGAAATAAATGTTTTTATTACATGTATTGACATATTTTCTAAAACATACTGACTTTTCACCTTTAAATAAAAAGTTGATGTTACCATATCTGAACAGCATCCATAGACCTATTTAGTATCATGTATTCTATTTCATTTATTTGATCAGTAAACATTTTTGCTCAATTCACAATTCAATTAAAATAAAATTTACTAGATCACAAATATAAAACAGATACAAATAGTAACTATATTCTAGTACATATGAGTGAGATTCTAGCTCATATTCTTCAGATATTCCATGGAGATCAGTGACATAAATTACTTAATGAGTTCACAACCCTGAAAACATTCCAAATCTCACTCCATAACTGTCAATATAAAGTGGTTAGTAACTTGAAATCCTTGGTGGCAAGAACTGTCCATATTAAAACAATGTTTTTCTTTAAACAAAAAGTAAATAAGGAAAAATAGGAACTGAAGCAATTGCTGTCTGGATATTTATTCCTTCCATACCTGAAGTCCTTTGAGACCAGGAGGTCCAGGAGGTCCTCTATTTCCGAGGAGTCCCTATAAAAGCAAAATAAGCACAAATAATAAAAACTTCAGCTCAACTAATATTTTTCAATCAGCATGAATCTGAGATGATAATACAATTTGGTACCATTCTTTACCCATTATTAAGTTATCAAAATGAAGTCAGAGGGTAGGTGAGCAGAAAACTATAGGGCATCCAAAAAACTGGGAGAGGTAGGATAAAATTTTTTTAAGCATGCTGGTGTTCAAATAATGTGCTCAGTATGTTACTCTTCAACCAGACACTCAGAAAAAGTAGTTCTAAATTTCAAGCAATGAGTACAGTTGTTAATTTGATAATAGTACAATAAATATATAATAGAGTATCCACAAAGTCTAAAAACAGACGGAAGAGATATGCACTATTTTAATATCTATTAAGAGACTAGCAGAATCCAGGGCCCATTATTCTCACTACATGTTCCTCAGCTTATTTCCCTTCTTAATACAAGCTGGTAAAAAGAGGATAACCTGCAGAAGAAAGTAACAATCTGAATGTGATTAGGAATTTCACAATTAAAAATCAAAATCAAAATCAATGTTGTTAAAAATCAAATGCTCTCTGAATAAAAATTCATTAATGTCCTTTAAAAATATCTATTTCAGAAAACACCCTACAGTATCTATTTAAAATGGTGACATTTTAAAAAAATTTTTATTTCTTTTCAGTGTAACAGTATACATTGTTTTTGCAACACACCCAGTGCTCCATGCAATCCGTGCCCTCCCTAATACCCACCACCTGGTTCCCCCAACCTCCCACCCCCCACCCCTTCAAAACCCTCAAGATTGTTTTTCAGAGTCCATAGTCTCTCATGGTTCACCTACCCTTCCAATTTCCTTCAACTCCCTTCTCCTCTCCATCTCCCCAGTCCTCCATGCTATTTGTTATGCTCCACAAATAAGTGAAACCATATGATAGTTGACTCTCTCTGCTTGACTTATTTCACTCAGCATAATCTCTTCCAGTCCCGTCTGGGACTTTCGTTGCTACAAAAGTTGTGTATTCATCCTTTCTGATGGAGGCATAATACTCCATAGTGTATACGGACCACATCTTCCTTATCCATTCATCCATTGAAGGGCATCTTGGTTCTTTCCACAGTTTGGTGACCGTGGCCATTGCTGCTATAAACACAGGGGTACAGATGGCCCTTCTTTTCACTACATCTGTATCTTTGGGGTAATACCCTGTAGTGCAATTGCAGGGTCATAGGAAAGCTCTATTGTTAATTTCTTGAGGAATCTCCACACTGTTCTCCAAAGTGGCTGCACCAACTTGCATTCCCACCAACAGTGTAAGAGGGTTCCCCTTTCTCCACATCCTCTCCAACACATGTTGTTTCCTGTCTTGCTAATTTTGGCCATTCTAACTGGTGTAAGGTGGTATCTCAATGTGGTTTTAATTTGAATCTCCCTGATGGCTAGTGATGATGAACATTTTTTCATGTGTCTGATAGCCATTTGTATGTCTTCATTGGAGAAGTGTCTGTTCATATCTTCTGCCCATTTTTTTTTATGGTTGTCTGTTTTGTGCGTGCTGAGTTTGAGGAGTTCTTTATAGATCCTGGATATCAATCTTTTGTCTGTACTGTCATTTGCAAATATCTTCTCCCATTCCGTGGGTTGCCTCTTTGTTTTGTTGACTGTTTCCTTTGCTGTGCAGATGGTCTTCCATCTTTTTGTGTCTTCTTCAATTTCTTTCATGAGTGTTCTGTAGTTCCTCAAGTGCAGATCCTTTATCTCTTTGGTTAGGTTTTTTCCCAGGTATCTTATGGTTCTTGGTGCTATAGTAAATGGAATCAATTCTCTAATTTCCCTTTCTGTATTTTCATTGTTAATGTATAAGAAAGCCACTGATTTCTGTACATTGACTTTGTATCCTGCCACGTTACTGAATTGCTGTATGAGTTTTGTAGTTTGGGGGTGGAGTCTTTTGGGTTTTCCATATAAAGAATCATGTCATCTGTGAAGAGAGAGAGTTTGACTTCTTCATTGCCAATTTGAATACATTTTATTTCTCTTTGTTGTCTGATTGCTGTTGCTAGGACTTCTAGTACTATGTTGAACAACAGTGGCAAGAATGGACATCCTTGTCGTGTTCCTGATCTCAATGGGAAGGCTGAAGCTTTTTCCCATTGAGGATGATATTTGCTGTGGGTCTTTCACAGATAGATTTGATGAAGTTCAGGAATGTTCCATCTATCCCTATACTTTGAAGCGTTTTAATCAGAAACAGATGCTGTATTTTGTCAAATGCTTTTTCTGCATCAATTGAGAGGACCATGTGGCTCTTCTCTCTTCTCTTATTAATTTGTTCTATCACATTGATTGATTTGCGAATGTTGAACCATCCTTGTAGCTCAGGGATGAATCCCACCCGGTCATGGTGGATAATCTTTTTAATGTGCTGTTGGATCCTGTTTGCTAGGATCTTGTTGAGAATCTTAGCATCCATATTCATCAGGGATATTGGTCTGAAATTCTCCTTTTTGGTAGGGTCTTTGCCTGGTTTGGGGATCAGGGTAAAGCTGGCTTCATAGAAAGAGTCTGGAAGTTTTCCTTCTGCTTCAATTTTTTGAAACAGCTTCAGGAGAATAGGTGTTATTTCTTCTTTGAAAGTTTGGTAGAATTCCCCAGGGAATCCATCAGGTACTGGGCTCTTTTTTGGGAGGTTTTTGATTACTGCTTCAATCTCGTTACTAGATATTGGTCTATTCAGGTTGTCAATTTCTTCCTGGTTCAATTTTGGGAGTTTATAGTTTTCCAGGAATGCATCCATTTCATCTAGGTTGCTTAGCTTATTGGCATATAACTGTTGATAATAACTTCTGATGATTGTTTCTACTTCCTTGGTGTTAGTTGTGATCTCTCCCTTTTCATTCATAATTTTATTAATTTGGGATTTCTCTCTTTTCTTTTGGATTAGTGCGGCCAATGGTTTATCGATCTTATTGATTCTTTCAAAAAAACAGCTTCTAGTTTCATTGATACGTTCTACTGTATCTCTGGTTTCTACCTCATTAATCTCTGCTCTAATCTTGATTATTTTCCTTCTTATGTGTGGAGTTGGTTTGATTTGTTGTTGATTCTCGAGTTCCTTAAGGTGTAGAGACAGCTGGTGTATTCTGGATTTTTCAATTTTTTTTGAGGGAGGCTTGGATCGCTATGTATTTCCCTCTTAGGACCGCCAAAACCCATAGGTTTTGGACTGAAGTGTCTTCATTCTCATTGGTTTCCATGAATTGTTTAAGTTCTTCTTTGATCTCCTGGTTGATCCAAGCATTCTTAAGCAAGGTGGTCTTTAGCTTCCAGGTGTTTGAGTTCCTTCCAAACTTTTCCTTGTGATTGAGCTCCAGTTTCAAAGCATTGTGATCTGAGAATATGCAGGGAATAATCTCAGTCTTTTGGTATCGGTTGAGTCCTGATTTGTGACCCAGTATGTGTCTATTCTTGAGAAGGTTCCATGTGCACTTGAGAAGAATGAGTATTCTGTTGTTTTAGGGTGGAATATTCTGTATATATCTATGAGGTCCATCTGGCCCAATGTGTCATTCAATGCTCTTGTTTCTTTATTGATTTTCTGCCTCGATGATCTATTTCTGAGAGAGGCATGTTAAGATCTCCTACTATTAATGTATTCATATCAATATGACTCTTTATCTTGATTAATAGTTTTCTTATGTAATTGGCTGCTCCCATATTGGGGGTGTAGATATTTACAATTGTTAGATCATCTTGGTGGATAGTCCCTTTAAGAATGATGTAGTGTCCTTCTGTATCTCTGACTACAGTCTTTAGTTTAAAATCTAATTTATCTGATATGAGAATCGCTACCCCAGCCTTCTTTTGAGACCCATTGGCATGAAAGATGCTTCTCCATCTCTTCACTTTCAGTCTGGGTGTATCTTTAGGTTCAAAATGGGTCTCTTGTAGACAACATATGGATGGGTCCTGTCGTTTTATCCAATCTGCAACCCTGTGTCATTTTATGGGCACATTTTATGGGCACAATTGATAGTGATTATTGATAGATACGTTTTTATTGACATTGTGTTACCTTTGAAGTCTTTCTTTCTGTAGATTGTCTCTATATTTATGTTCAATGCTATTCTTAGGATTTTTCCTCTTTTATAGAACCCCCCTTAATATTTCCTGCAGTGTCAGCTTGGTGTTTGCATAGTCTTTTAAGCCTTGCCGGTCTTGGAAACTCTTTCTCTCTCCATCCATAAAATGGTGACATTTTTCTTATTCAGTTCTGTTTCCCTAACTATACGGTATGTCTGCAAAGCTTTAAGTAAAACTCTTCTAAAAACTATCTTTTGCATTATTGTTTTTAGTGATTCTAAAGCCATTAAAAGATTTTATCTAATTTTTAAGTGTAGTAAATAACTATGCTAATAGTGACTCTATCCAGGTGGGTTTAATCTTTAGTTCTGAAATGCAGCAGAGTGATAAACTGCACAAGAATCTTGCCTTCATATTATACCTTGTTTTATCATTGCTATGTTCTAATATAATCAAAAAAATGAAAAGCTCTTGGTCAGTTTGTATATGTGCTGCCAAAGCAAGCACTCTTGGTCAGTTTAACAGTCTATAATACATTAGCACAAGCTTATGTATAGAGCACCATTTAAGAAACTATATGACTTCAGGCAATAAAATTTTTGTGAAGCTATCTTATTTTTTTATTGGAAGAGATGGATTAGATTATTGAAATGGGTGTATGTTGTTTGATGCAAGTCCAGTTACATTCTCAAAAGACTCCTAATTTTTTTTTCTGGTTTTATCTTATTTTTCCTTCCATTTCCCTTATGTTCGTCTGTTTACTTTTTATTTTTTTACAATTTAGGTCTTATTTATTTATTTGTTTGTTTGTTATGTTAGTCACCATACAGTACATCATTAGTTTTTGATGTAGTGTTCCATGATTCATTGCTTGCATATAACACCCAGTGCTCCCTGCAATACGTGCCCTCCTTAATACCCATCAC